CGGTCTTTCCTTCTCAAGACGTTGGAGGTCACTTTACCTCATCACAAGTTCAAAGAACTTCGGCTCCCCGAGCCCATTACCGAAGTTGCATTGCAAAAATGTTTCCGCTCTCGCCGCGGTCTTCTGACCCTTCGTCACCTAGTGACTCTATGTCTGGGCGCGATAGCCCGCGCTCCCCGCAGACCCCAGGTCCTCCCGCCGACGAGGCTTCTGCTGTGCAGCGGCTCAGTGTACGACAGTACCACAACGAGCACCAGCGGCGTCATGGTTCCCGCTCGGCGAGCCAACCTCCGAGTGAGGACGAGGCTTCACGCTCGCCCGAGCCACCTGGCTCGCCCACCAGTCATGGCGAGCTAGAGCCTGGTGAGGTCGCCTCTGGCGAAGTGGCTGGGAACCCAGCGTCGAACTCTCGCGAGCTTCGGACGCCCAATCCGTTTCCCAGCCGTTCGTGGTCGGGTTCGAACGCCCTGCGCAACGCGCCACCACTCTCCTCAAGATATGAGGATGAGCTCCCTGAGCCGGGTGTCATTACCAATGACCTCGACGGCGCCCAGAGCCGACAGATCGCTGCAGAGGCCCACACTCGGCCTAATCGGCCTGTGGCCCGCCCCATTGTGGGGACTTCGCGCCGTGACTACGGGTATGTGCGGTCAAGCCCGGCTGAAGCAGCCCGACGCGCTGCCCTGCAGCCACTTGACACCTACACGTGTGGGCCTGCGGCCAGTACGACGGACGAAGTCGTTAAACGACAGACGCTCCGTGAGCGATACTTGACTCCGCAAGTTACTACTCCTGCTGAGTATCGCGAACGGTTACGCCAGCAGCTCAGGGGTGAGCCGGTACCTGCGATGCAGACTGTACCCGTGGTCCTCGCAGCGGGTGAAACCACCAATGCTTATGAAGCGCAGTTTCAAAACTGGGTGGAGTTAGCTCGACGGCTTCACTCCTTTGATGCTCTCCGAGCTAGTTTCTCGGAAACAGATATCCGCTTAGAGCGGCGCTTGCGCTTCGACTTCGCGAAACGTCAAGCCAAGCGACGTGCTTCAGGACAACGTCCCTCTCGTTACGAGGCATCCCCGCCTCCTGCTCCTGCTGTAGACAGCCCTGCTCATGATTACGAGCCGGCTGCTACAGCCACTGGTCAAAGCCCGAGCCCGGCTATTGACCTATCGTCGCCCCATTCTAGTAGTGGGAAGCGCGTGGCGCCTGGCGACTCTGTCGCACGTCCTTCTGACGACTCG